CCCCCCCCCCCTAAAAAAAAAAAAAGAAAGAAAGAAATGTGTACAAGTATCATGTTTAAACAAGGATTTGAAAGAGATAAGTGATAGACAGTCTTACCCTAATTTTAAAAAGGCAAATTTTTGAGCTCGAATTCATAACATACAACTTACACAAAAGAACACATGTTTGTTGCTGTTACTCTAATTGATACTCTACTCAATTAACTCAAAAAAGAAAATGAGATCAATAATTTTTAAAATTCTACAAACAAACAAATCTTCCCAATAAAGAAGTTCCCTTACTTTTTGAGCTATTCAGTTTGTGTATTTAGATCATTCCCTAATGAATTAATGGCTACATCCTACATAACAAACATAATATTTAATGGAAACGAAGCACAGAACAATGGCAATGACACATTGATGTAATTGAGAAGAAAAGATGATGAAAAGTAGCCAAAAACTCTTCTTAGTGGGCCTTGTGTTCACAGTTCTGATTTTTGGGCCTTATTGCTGGCAAAGCAATGCCAGTAAGAGTAGCAAAAAATGGAGTTGTTAGTTCCATCTTGCTGAAGTTTGACAAGGTTCCATATGATTCGAAGAAGGTGAACCTAGAGATGCTACCTAAGGACACATTTGTACCACCACCAACTTTCTTGCATTCTAAGAGTATCTATCAAATGCTACCCATGATTACAACTCAATGACAGTCAGGGACGTCTTCTGGGATGTTTGCTCCACCACCACCACCTATACCACCATCTGGACTGTCTCATAAGACATAACCAAATATCATCCCCGCACCATTTACACACACCGAAATTCTTTGGCTCATCTGAGGGACCTCTGTCACACTCTATAGGCATCTATCAAATGTTGTTCTAAGGTATACGTGTACCACCATCAAAGCAAGCACCACGTTGTCAATTCCCACCTCAGAAATTTTGGTGGGCCATCGTCGCCTCTCAGATGAGTCATCGAGGCCCATGAATGATGCAGTAAATTGGAAATTGGAGGCTGCATGGGACCCATTGAAATTCGGTGGCCTAATCAAGGCCCTTGTTCCTCTATCCAGGCCACCCAAAAGGGCTCTCACCTATCCATTGCATCCTTCGTACTGAGCACCAGTTTCATTATTGGAAGCTGCATATTATTAACTACAATTAAATGCTATAAATTAGAAACTTGTATATATCTACATAGACCATGCACACACATATAATTCTCTACAATGGTGAATTGAATTAAACCTCTTAGAAATTTTTAATTAATTTAGGACAAACTTTGATTTACCTTCTTGTGGTTTACTTCATTTGCACATAATCCCCCTATGAATTAAAAATAACACATAACCTTTTATGGTTGTCGGACTAAAATGTACTTTTATAATTTTTGATTGATTTAATTGGGCATGGGGACACCGCACCATCAAGGGACTGAGTATTAAAACGAAAATCTGATAGGACTAAAACACCCTCATCTCCTTCTTCCCTCTTTGTCTTGGTTCATCGTCCCTCACAAAAACACTCTCTCTCTCTCTCTCTCACACACACAAACAAACACATAGAGATCTCCTCTCTCTATCAACAACCATTTCCACCACCACCTACCTCCATTTTTTGACAGCCCCAACCAAGTCTAAATCAAATTACCCACCAACCAAAATCCTTAAATTTCATTCAAGCAAACTTAAACAATGCAAACAAGTCCATAAAGTCAAAGAAATCCACTAATCTAAATTCAAAAATTAAAAATAAAATTATTTTATTCAATATATATATATATATATATATATATAATAAAGTACAATACAATTCAAATTTTAAAAGATAAACAAAATGACTTTTGATATTTGTAGTTGAGATCTCTTTAAATTTTATTTTAAAGTTAATCCGACGGCTAATATTAGCATCCTAAATTTAATAAAAAAAATATGCTTCTAATGGTGTGTTTAAAATAACTTTTTAAAAGTGTTTCTAGAATTTATTTTTCATAAGTACTTTTAAAAAAAAAGTAGTGTTTGAAACTATCCCACCACCACCCCCATTGCCATCGCCACCACCACTATCGTCACCCTACCACACCCACCGCCCCACCAGCACCACCACCACCATCACCTTACCACCATTATTGTCCACTGTCACCATCACCATTACTACCACTGTCTCATCACCACCATCACTGTCCATTATCACCATCACAACTACTATCACTGCCCTACCACCACCGCCATTATCTCACCGTCACCACACCCATGACCATCAGAACTACAACCACCAACGCCACCCTACCATCGCCACCGTCGTTGCCACCATCGTCGTCGCTGCCACTACCACCATCACCACTGCCCCACCGTCACCAGCACCACCATCGCCATCCATTACCAATTGCTACAACCGTCGTCCACTGCCACTATCCACCACTATCGTCATCTTATTCTTTTATTTATTACTGTTACCATCATCATCCCACTACCACCGTTGCCCATCATCAATACCCACCACCATCATTATTGCCCATCGTCACCTACTACCATAACCCACCACCACCCATTGTTGCCCACCATCGGCACCAACCATTGTCACTCACCTCCACCACACCTACCACCACCTGTCATCGCCCACTACTGTAGCCACCCACTGTCACCCACCCCTACCACACTTAACACCACCACCACCACCACCGCTGCCACCACCCATCACACTGTCGTCTAAAAGCACTCATTGTCGCCCACCACCACCATCGTCACTGCCCACCGCTGTTGTTGTTGCCTCACCACTGCCACTGCCAATTACCATCACCGTTGTCCATCACCACCCACACCTATACATACACCCACAACCACACCCATCACCGCCGTCACCCACGATTGTTACTACCACCATCGTCATCCAAAACCCACCACCACCATCACTATTGTCACCCACGGTGGCCATCACCACCACGGTCATCGCCACCCACTATAACCATCAACACTACTGTCCACCACCATTACCACCGCTCACTCTCACTACAATCGGTGCATAAATTTCTTTATTTTTTCTCTATGTTTGTGATTTGATTTTGGGTGTAAATACAAATATATTTATTATTAACTAATTTTTTTATTAGTATATATATATATACACACATATGACGTTGTGGGAAGACCACTAGTAGGTTCACATCTTTAAAAACATGTTCAGAATCTTTTCTTGGATCTAAGGGTGTCCATAGGCCGAATTGCCAAGGGGTTCCGTTACTCAGTCCGAAACTCGATAAACCTGATAGTTGGTTCGCCCGAATCCGAATGTAATATCCTTCAAGAGTGGGCTTGGTCCCAACCCCAAACCAATAATCCTGCCTAATAGACCACCCGCAAAAGCCCCATTAGAACCCGCCCGCCCCAGCCCTACTCAAACAACCTGCGCACCTTTTCTTGAAAAAGAAAAATTAGACACATTAAATTTGAAATTTGAAAAAGATAGATAGGTGGGTAAGTGTCAACCTAATTGAAATGTGTTCATTCTATTGTGATGCAATTCTTCCCCTATTTATGAATAAAATTATTTAATGTTTACTTTTTGTCCATTTTGACTCTACTTTTAATTCAAAAATGTAATTTACAAAAAATATTAAGTTACAAAATATTTATTATTTTTAAATGAAGTTGTATATAAAAAGTTTGTCCAGTAGGCCCGCCCAATAGTCCTGTAGAGTGGCAGGTTGGGTTGTGGGTAGTCTACCCTTATCCAAAGTCTTGCCCGCTTGATAACTCATCCGAGTAAAGGTTTGGGCCTCTCCCACTCAGGCCCAATTCAAAAAAAAATTTACGGGCCAAGCCCAACCCGACCCATGAACACACTTACTTGGACCTATAACAATTGGCGACACATGGGTTTGATTTTGGAATTTTACTTCGTTAGATTTTTCTATTCTGGATTTTGTGTATGTAATTGGATTTTGGTTTTTTGTTTGATGCAGAGCGGTGGTGGTATGGTGTGCCATTTTGATTGGTTTTTGGTGTTTTTGGTTTGTTTGCGGATCTGTTAAATGAAGAATGGGTTGGGTTTGTCGGAGAAGAAATGTGGAGGATATGGAGTGTTTTAATCTTATCTTTAACGGAGTGAAGTTGTGCATTTTAGTCTAAAACCATAAAGGGATTATGAGTCATTTTTAATCTACAGGAGGGTCATGTGCAAATGGAATAAATCATAAAAAAGTAAACTGAAATTTGTCCTTTAATTTAAAGAGCCTCAACTTCACTTGCCTGAAAAACGATGCTTCCATTGGTAGCAAAATAAGTTTGGAAAATTTGGAGGCCGGTTCATATTTTAGAACTTTTTGAGCTATAAGTCCATCCGGAATCTTATATTGGGTTTAAGCCCATTCTTTATTCAAATGTCTAAACTATTCCCAAACCCTCTCTTTCCTCACGAAGAGCACAAAAGATCTTCTCACCAAAAACCTCCACATTTGAATTTTGACAACAAAAAATTCATTAATTTCGGCCAAAATTTGATTTTAAAATGGGCCAAAAATCAATGCCAAAAATAGTAATATTTAAAACAAAAAAAGTAACATTTAAAATTAAATACAATAACATTTAAAACAAAAATAATATTATTTAAAATAAAAAACAGTAATATTAAACATAATAGTATTGATCACAATTTTGACAAAAAAAAGGTTACCTTCTAAATTTAAGACAATAACATTGAACATAATAAAGATATAAATAGTAACGTGTTCACAAAAAAAATGATAACATTTAAATTCAATTGATGTTGCTGTGTGAATGTTGCGTAACTTGAATATTATTAAGTGATGTTACTAATTGACCAATCTTCATACTCAAATTTGAGTCAATATTATAGGTCCTTTTTATAAAAGTTGTTGATTGCAGAAGAAATCCAACGCCATCGTAGTGGCCAATAATATAAAATTTTAAATTTTTATTGAAAAATAAATGAAAGAGAAAGATCGTGAACTTGACCGGTTAATTGCCAATTTGCATGATCGGCATAATCGTCGAATTTTGGCAACCATTTGGCATTAAGTCAAAAGAGAATTATTTCTCATCAATATTTTAGTCCCGACATGAATAATTTATTTTTGATTGGAGTAGAGAAGGGATTAATCGAGATACGTGTAATTAATAGATTTTCTCTTCAATTCTCTTTTTAGCTTATCACTTATCATGTATTTAAGTGGGACTCACGGTATACAAATGAAATCTTCTTTCATTTGTGGTAGATGGCACGCTAAGAAAAAAATAAAAAAAAAAAGTGTATGGAAAGAGATTTGAATCCACTATACTATTTTACGATGCACACTTCTTTTTGGCTCTATATTTAGTTAAATAGAAAATTGAACTCAAAAAATGATTTTTGCAATAAATGCAGACTTAAGACTGATGATTAATACCAAAAAAGGGTTGGTGATCACCAAAGATTATCCGGCTTGGATGAATGAAGAACTGCATAAGTTTGATATCGATAATGTTATACGTCGAATTTTCTCAACCGAATCATTCTAATGCTTGAGCTTCATCTATTTGATTGTGAGATTAATCACCCACTATGATAGGGGATCCACTTATTTTTTATAAACATTTTTTGAATTCATCAACCAGTTTTGGTCCTCCAACTTAGTGATGATGGCCAATGTTGCAAAGAAGTTTTGCGAGGCTATCTTGCAACCCTTTTGGGTCTCATCTATGCCATTTTTTTTGGGTTGGCATCTGAGCAATAAGAGGCCCCTTTTACGCCCACTTAGCCCACCTAAGTCACTTACCACTGTGCATTAAATCCTTGTGCAATTCGCACCATTTTCTTCCTTGATTTGCATCTTATTACCACTAATAAAAATGCATTGATTTTAAATTTATGTCTTGTTTGAGGGGCTGCATTTGAATGCATAATTTATTTTTAGAATTAAGTTATTGAACATCAATTTTTATTTTAGGACTATTCTTGATATTTATCTTAGGACTAATCTTAGAACTAGCTCAAGTATGAACAAGTTCAAGCAAGCAAGACCAGGTTTGCAAGAAATTAATTTTTCACTAGCAAAACTAATCCGTTATATGAACGACAATCCTTACCGTAGGCACATACTTTGGAAGGCCAACTTTCTCTTC